TCTACTGAGTACAGACCCAACCTACTGAACCCTTCCTCATAAGACAGTCTCTCCATGCCCAGATCAGCTGAGTGAACTTCTCTAGACTGACTCTGATGCCAGGTTATCTTTTCTTAGATAAAGGGCACAAAACAGTATTCCAGCTGTGATCTTACTAGTGCCTTACATAATTTTAGCAAAACCTCCCTGCCTTTATACTCCATTTGAAATAAAGGCCAACATTCCATTTGCCTTCCCTATTGAACTTGTAAGTTCATCTTTTATGATTTATGCATAGAACATAGAACAGTACAGCACAGCCCTTCGGCCCACGACGTTGTGCCAAACTTTTACCCGAAACCTAAGGTCTATCTAACCTCCACCGCTATCTTATACTATCATCCATATGCCTATCTAATAGCCGCTTAAATGCCCCTAATGAGGCCGACTCCACTACCCTCTCCGGCAATGCATTCCACGCCCCTACCACTCTGAGTAAAGAACCTACCTCTGACATCTCCCCGATATCTACCTCCTTTCACTTTAAAACTACGTGCCCTCGTAAAAGCTACCTCCACCCTAGGAAAAAGTCTCTGGCTGTCTACTCTATCTACACCTCTGATCATTTTGTACACCTCTATCAAGTTACCTCTCATCCTTCGTCGTTCTAAAGAGAAAAGCCCTGCGCTCTCAACCTTTCCTCACAAGACCTTCCCTCCATTCCGGGCAACATCCTGGTACATCTCCTCTGCACCTTTTCAACACTTCCACATCTTTCCTGTAATGAGGTGACCAGAACTGGACACAACACACCACATGTGGCCAAACCAGGCTTTTGTATAGCTGGGGCATAACTTCACGGCTCTTGAACTCAATCCCTCTATTAATGAAAGCTAACACACCATACGCCTTCTTAACAACTCTATCCACCTGGGTGGCAGCTTTCAGGGAACTGTGAACATGAACCCCAAGATCCCTCTGCTCCTCCACACTGCCAAAAATCTTTTCGTTAACCCTGTATTCCGCCTTCAAGTTTGTCCTTCCAAAATGCATCACCTCACACTTTTCAGGGTTAAACTCCATCTGCCACTTCTCAGCCCAGCTCTGCATTCTATCAATGTCCCTTTGTAACCTAGAATAGCCCTCCGCACTGTCCACAACGTGACCCACCTTCGTATCGTCTGCGAACTTGCTAATCCACCCTTCCACTCCTTCATCCAAATCATTTACAAAAATCACAAATAGAAGAGCACCTAGGACTGATCCTTGTGGTACACCACTCGTAACTGAACACCATGTTGAATATTTTCCGTCCACTACCACCCTTTGTCTTCTAAGGGTCAGCCGATTCTGAATCCAATCTGCCACATTTCCCCCTATCCCATGTCTCCTTACCTTCTGCATGAGCCTACCATGGGGAACCTTATCAAAACGCCTTACTTAAATCCATGTATACCACATCCACTGCTCTACCTTCATACACGTGTTTGGTCAACTCTTCAAAGAATTCAATAAGGTTTGTGAGGCATGATCTACCCCTCACAAATCAAACTGTGCCTTTCCAAGTGATCATAAATTCTGTCTCTCAGAGCCCTTTCCAATAATTTGCCCACCACTGACATAAGACAAACTGACCTGTAATTTCCAGGGTTATCCCTGTTCCCTTTTTTGAACAAGGAAATGCGTTTGCCTCTTTCCAATCTTCCGGCACTATACCCATGGACAGTGAGGACGAAAAGATCATCGCCAAAGGCCCTGCGATCTCGTCCCTTGCTTCCCATAGAATCCTTGGATAAATCCCATCAGGCCCGGGGGACTTATCTATCTTCAACTTCCTCACAATTCCTAGCACATGTTCTTTACTAGCATCAACCTCCTCTAGCCGACCTGCCTGTTTCATAACGTCATCCTCTAGCCTACCTGCCTGTGTCACAACGTCATCCTCTAGCCTACCTGCCTGTGTCACAACGTCATCCTCTACAACTGGGTCCCTCTCAGTTGCGAATACTGAAGAAAAGTATTCATTAAGGACCTCTCCTATCTCTTTAGGCTTAGTGCCCAAATTCCCTTTACAATCCTTGATCAGCCCTACCCTTTCTCTGGTCATTCTCTTATTCTGCACGTACGTGTAAAAAGCCTTGGAGTTTTCCTTAATCCTATCTGCCAAGGTTTTCTCATGCCCCCTTATAGCTCTCCCAAGCCCTTTCTTCAGCTCCTTCCTGGCAAACTTGTATCCCTCTAGCGCCTTTTCCATTCCTCTTTTCCTAAACCTTACATAAGCCTCCTTCTTCCTCTTAACCAGTCGTTCGAACTCTCTTGAGAACCATGGCTCCCTCACTCGACCGCATCTTCTCTGCCAGCTAGGGTTAAACATATCAAGCACATGCAGTATGCATTCCTTAAACAATCTCCACATTTCAATAGTGCTCTTCCCTGATAGCATCTGTTCCCAATTTATGTTACCCAGTTCTTGCCTAACTGAATTGTAATTACCCTTCCCCCAATTGTAAACTTTACCCTGCCGTATGTACCTATCCTTATCCATGACTATCATGAAAGAAACAGAGTTATGATCGCTACCGCCAAAATGCTCTCCTACCAACAGGTCTAACACTTGGCCCCGTTCGTTGCCAAGCACCAAATCCAACGTGGCCTCTCCTCGGGTTGGTTATCGACATACTGTGTCAGGAATCCTTCCTGAACGCACTGGACAAAATCTGCTCCATCTAAACTATTACAACTAAAATGTTTCCAATCAATATTTGGAAAGTTGAAGTCACCCATGACTACAACCCTGTGACTTCTGCACCTTTCCAGTATCTGTCTCCCAATCCACTCCTCCACGTCTCTGCAACTATTAAGGGGTCTGTAAAAAAAACCCCAACAAAGTGACTGCTCCTTTCTTGTTCCTGACCTCAACCCAAACTGACTCTGTAGACATATCGTTCTTGAACTGCCTTTCAGTCGATGCTATACTCGCCCTGACTAGCAATGCCACTCCTCCACCTCTTTTTCCACCCTCCCTATTTCTTTTAAAGCATCTAAATCCCGGAACTTCCAACAACCATTCCTCTCTGAGTTACCCAAGTTTCTGTAATGGCCACAACATCATTGTTCCAAGTACCGACCCATGCTCTAAGTTCATCCGCTTTATTTCTGATACTTGTAGCATTGAAGTATACACACCTCAAACCATCTCGGTGTCCGCAATTACGCTCCATCGACCGCATTTCTTTATAAACCACCTCACTCCCTGTTGTGTCTGTTGGAAGGCCGAATACCTCATCCTCTGAATTATAAATTCGGTTCCCCACCCCCTGCCAAACTAGTTTAAACCATCCCGTACAGCTCTAGCAAACCTCCCTCTCAGGATATTTGTGCCCTTCCGGTTCAAGTGCAAATCGTCCTTACTGTACAGGTCCCACGTTCCCCAGAATGTGCTCCAATTATCCACATAATGGAAGCTCTCCCTCCTACACCAGCCCAGTAGCTTCATGTTTAGCTGCACTCTCTCCCTATTTCTTACCTCGTTATCACGTGGCACTGGTAGTAACCCAGAGATAACTATGCTGTTTGTCCTGGACTTCAGCTTCCAACCTAACTCCCTGCACTCGTTTTTCACATTCTCAGTCCTTTTTCTACCTATGTCATTGGTACCGATGTGTACCATGACTGCTGGTTGCTTACCCTCCCCCTTAAGGATCTTGAAGGCACGATCCGAGACATCACGGACCCTGACACCCGGGAGGCAACATACCATCCTTTCATCTCGTTCGCGCCCACAGAACCGCCTGTCTGTGCCTCTTACTATCGAATCCCCCACTACAATTGCTCTCCTATTCTCCCCCCTTCCCTTCTTTGCCACAGGGTCAGGCTCAATGCCAGAGACCTGCCCGCTATGGCCTTCCCCTGCATAGGGAATCCCAAATCCCTCTCTTCATATAAATATTCAGCTCCTCTATTCTTCCTGCCAACGCTCATAACCTCACATTTTCCCACATTATATTCTATCTGCCTAGTTTTTGCCCATTCACTTAACCTGTCACTATCCTTCTGCAGACTCTGCCATTCTCATCACTAGGCTTCCCAATGATTTTTGGGTCATCACAGCTATCAAAGTCATTGACAAATATTGTAAATAATTGTGGTCCTAATACGGATTCCTGTGGCCCCTCCACTAGTTATAGGTTGGCATCCTAAAAATGCCCCCCTAATCACAATTCTCAGTCTTCTAAGAGTTAGCCAGTCCTCTATCCATGCCAATATACCACCTCCAACACCACAGGCTCTCATTAAGTAACCTAATGTGTGTCACCTTATCACATGCCTTCTGAAAACCCAAATCTATTACACTGACTGTTTCGTCTTTATCCATCCTGCTTGTTACCTCCTCAAAGAATTCTAATAAATTTGTGAGGCATGATTTCCCCTCTGTGAAGCCATACTGACTCTGCTTGATTGTTAAGTTTTTCTAAATACTCTTGTTATTACAGCCTTTATAATAGACATTTACCTAATATTAAGATAACTGGCCTTTAGTTACCTAATCTTCTGGCTTACCATTAAACTCAGCCACATTATATGTTTTTTCTTTCAATTTAATGCTATCTTTAACTTCCCTGGTTAACCATGGTTGGCTTATCACCTTCCTGGAATCCTCCTTCCTCATTGGGATGTATCTTTGCTGTGACCCACGAACTATTTTCTACAACAGCCATTTTTCCTCAATTGTCTTTGGTGCTAAACTCCTTTGACGGCCCATTCCAGCCAGCTATACCCTCATTCCTTTGTAATTCCCATATTTGCATTTAGCACAGTGTTTCCAACCCCCGAGTTGTTCCCTCTCAAATTGAACACTAAAGTCTATTATGTTATTCTCAAATTCCCCCAATCCCTTGGAGAAGTGACAATGGGGCAGGACACAATCCAATAGGAAGGCAGCAAGAGGGCACAGTCGTGGGGACAATCTCTGGTGAGGGAGCAGAAAGAATGACCAAATTGGAGGGGAGCAGGAAAGAAACATGGTATCTGAGCGACCCATCATGTACCTGCACCACAAAGAAATGCAACGAAGGAGGTGATTGGCTGAGGTTATTACCATCCAGTATACCTGCAAACTGTCTGTCTGCAGTGCCACGCACCCCGAACCGAGACACCAGCTTCCCATTGCACTGAAAAATGAAGACACAGCAAGCCTTGTTATCCACCACGATCAGATGACCATTGTGATCGATAGCCACTCCCTTTGGTCCCAACAGCTTCCCAGCTCCAATCTTACCCTGTGGGTGGTGGGGAGAGGGGTGGGGTGAAAAGAGAGAGAAAGAGAGAGAGAGAGAGAGAGGGACGATGTCAGAAAGTGTAAAGTTACGCACTTTGGGAGGAAGAATAGAGGCATGGTCTATTACTAAATAGCAAAAGGCTTCGGAAACCTGAAGCGCAAAGGGACTTGGGAGCCCTCGTTTAGGATTCTCTTAAGGTTAACAGGTAGGTTCAGTTGGCAGTTAGGAAGGAAAATGCAATGATAGCATTCATTTCAAGAGGGCAAGAATAAAAGAGCAAAGATGTACTGTTGAGGCTGTATAAGGCTCTGGTCAGGCCGCATTTGGAATACTGAAAGCAGTTTTGGGCCCCATATCAAAGAAAGGACGTGCTGGCCTTGGTGGGAGTTCAGAGGGGGTGTACAAGAATGATCCCGGGGATGAAGGGCTCGTCAAATGAGGAGAAGTTGAGGACTCTGGGTCTGTACTCGATGGCTCGATGAGGGGAGGGGGTTTGATTGAATCTTACAGAACACAGAGGATGGATATAGTTAGATAGCCTGGATAGTCTGACACAGCTTTAGGGTGGAAGGACGATCCTTTAGAACTGAGATGAGGACGAATTTCTTCAGCCAGAGGTTGGTTAATCTGCGGAACTCATTGCCACAGAGGGCTGTGGAGGCCAAGTCATTGAGTGCATTTAAGACAGAGATAGAGGGGTTCTTGATTGGTAAAGGAATCAAGGGTTACAGGGAGAAGGCAGGAGAATTAGTTTGAGAAACATGTCAGCCATGATCAAATGTCAGAACAGACTCGATGGGCCAAATGACCTAATGCTGCTCCAAATCTTATGGTCCTACGAAGACTAATGGAATGTTGGCCCTTATTTCAAGGGGGTTAGAGTATAAGAGTAGGGAAGTCTTACTGCAACTGTACAAGGTGCTGGTGAGACCACATCTGGAGTACTGTGAGCATTTTTGCTTCTCTTCTTTAAGGCAAGATATCATTTCATTAGAGGTAGTTCAGAGGTAGTTCAGAGAAGGTTCACGAGGAGGATCTCTGGTATGGAGGGGTTGTCTTCTGAGTAAAGGCTAAACAATTTGGGACTCTATTCACTGGAGTTTAGAAGAACGAGCGGTGTTCTCAGTGAAACAAAGGATTCTTAGGAGACTTGACCAGGTAAATGCTGAGAGGATGTTTCCCCTCATTGGAGAATGTAGGACCAGAGGGCACAGTCTCAGAATAAAAGGGAGGCAATTTAAGACCGAGATGAGGAGGAATTTCTTCTCTCAGAGGTTTGAGTGTCTTTGCAACTCCTTGCCACAGAGAGATGAGGGGGCAGAGTGGTCATGTATATTTAAGGCTGAGATAGATAGATTCTTGATCAATAGGGGAATCAAAGGAAATGGGGAAAGGGCAGGAAAGTGGACGTGAGGAATGTCAGACCAGCCATGATCCTATTGAATGATGGAGCAGGCTTGAGGAGTGAATGGTCTACTCCTATTCCTATTTAAGGTCTTACGCTAAAAATCCACAAAGATGACGACACAAAATCTCACGGCGTAGGGGGAACATTGGTTGATTTACAGGAAATAGAGAATGGGAATAAATGAGCCATTTTGGGGTTAGCAAGATGTTGCAAGAGCAGTGTCATTGGGATCAGTTTGGGGATTTCCCTATTCAACGATTTTAATAAATGGACTGAAGCAAAGGGGTGAAATTTATCAATGACCCCATGATAGGGAGGAAGGTTAGTTGTTAGTCAGACATGAAGTATCATTCAGTCATACAGTATAGAAGAGGCCCTTCAGCCCATTGATTCTGCACTGCCCAAATATATCACTACCTACACTCATTCCACTTTCCTGTATTAGGACCTCCTTGATAGCAAGATCAATGACTAGGGCTATAAATTTAAGGTAAGGGCAGGAGGTTTAGAGGGGATGGGAAGAAAATCTTATTCACCCAGAGGGTGCTGGTAATCTGCAACTCACTGCCTGTAAGGGTGGGAGCGGCAGAAATTCTCAGAACATTTAAACATGGACTTGCAATGTCAAGGCTTGTGCCAAGTGCTGGAACATGGGATTAGAATACATACTGGCAAGGACACCATGGGCCAAAGGGCCTTCTCTGTACTGCTGTTCTCTATGTCCCTCTAACTCTGCACTGTCCCCAACTTCTTCACCTCCCCACATCCTCTCCCCCCACACTCCACCTCCTCACCTTCATCCATCTTCCTCCCCTATTCCTCTCCTCACCTTCCCTTACCTTGAACTTGCCATCAGGGGTGAAGGTGCTGACCCAGCGGTTGTCATAATCAGCTACGATGATGTCCCCGTTGGGATCAATGGTCACTCCGGTTGGCCGTTGCAATTGTCCTGGAGACCGTCCCCGGACCCCGAAGCGCAGCTTGAACTGTCCGTCATTGGAAAAGACCTGGGAGGGAGGGAGTGGCAGGGAAAGAGTCTCACTCACATGTGGAAAACCCACAGTAATTCAAATCCGCTACCCACCCCCCACCCCCACCCCCACCTCCACTACCACTACCACCCGAGAGGTCGAAACCCCACATCAAGGGCAGCCTCTCTCCCTAACCACTGTGGGCCTTCAGTCACACCACGTGAGTCCAGAGCACTGAGAACAGGCCACAGCTGAAGTCTGGCACTTTCCTGCCCAGTGTGGGTGGAGGATTTTGGGAGACAGCGTGGAAATGGTTACCTGGATACACTGGTTATTGCTGTCAGCCACTACAATGCGATTATTTCCTGATGCAGAGATTCCCTGAAGGTTGGTGAATTCCCCTTTCTCTCGACCTCTGGTCCCTAAAAGGAAAAAAAATACACAGAATAAGATTCACATCTGGTGAATAAACCCTCAACTCCCACAGAATGACAGGGCAGGCCAACGACAGGAATACATCAATACAACAGTACACGCCAAAGGACAATGACAACAACCTTGGCAATTGGCCGAAGCAACAGGCCATGGGATCACTGCAGGTAACAATGATACTGATGGAGGCAAAGGCTATGCTATGGAGCACTCCTACCCAGCCTGGCTTGTACCTGCTCCAGTCCCGCTCTGAGAGCTTGAATCTGGAGTTCAGAGAAGACAGAGAATAGAATCAACTCCTGTCTCACTTTCATCGAGACAAGTCAATCCAATATTGCTCAGGTTACCAGGATCACATCCTGGTCTTTCATGATAAATACCATGATCAAACCTAGGGCAGAGCCCAAGGTCTTGGGAAGACATTGGTGGGTCCATTCCCAGAATGAGAGGTTTGTGTTCTGGTGAGAACCAGTCCAGTCAAACTGAGGCTCAAACTTACAATTAGGGAGTGATTGTGGAGTGGTGACAAGGTCCAGGCCAATGTTGTGTGGGCAGGGGTTCAAACGCCAGCAAGGCCGCTGGGTGAATTTACATTCAGTAAATCAACCCAGAATTGAAAGCTGGTCTCAGTGATAGTAACCAAAAACCATTGTTGATTGTCAATAAAAACCCATCTGGTTTATCTCAGGAAGGAAGTCTGGCCTACAGGTGACTCCAGACCCGCAGCGATGTGGTGAAATGCCAGGTGTGACACTCAGTTCATAGGCAATGAGGCACCAAAAGCCGGTCTTGCCAGCAATGCCCACATCCAAGTGAAGAACAAAGAGAAACTCACCCACACGGATAATCAGCTCGTCCTCAATGGGGTTCTCCTTTTTTTTGGCGGTGCCATACATGCTGGCCGGGCGGCGGACAGCTTTCTGACGGATGTGACCACCACTCGGAGACTTCACCCTGCGCTTGACATCCTCAGGAGAATGTGAGGAGTCACAAGGTTTGGTGGCTCGGACTCGGTAAGGACTCCCTTTGACAGGTTGATTATACAGAGTTACAGACAGTGTGAAGTCGCCCTCCATCTTCAGTGTGTAAAGGAGCTCATACGTTCCATTCCTATTGTCCACGATCTCGCCCTGAGTGGAGCTACCGTCAGGAGCGATGATCTCTGCCTGCAGGATCGCATTACCGCTCTTCACAAGCTCTCCATCTTTATCCTTGGTTGTTATAGTAACTGTGGTCTGCTGGCCAACCACAGCATGCCGAAGACCCTCTCCAGTGGCTACAGTCTGCTGTGCTACAGCATTGGTGGTGACCAGAACTCCAAGATTCAGGATAGACTTCCTCACCACGTCAGTCTCCACCCTCAGGTCTAGGTGCTCGTTTTCCTGGGGTTGGAGAGGAAAGTCCTGTGCAGCAAGCTCACTCAATGTCTCCGTCATCTGTTTTTTCACCAGGAGCACCTCAGTCTCTGTGCCGTGGCTCAGGGCCTGCTCCGTGAATTCTGAGCTACTCTGTATTTTCTCCCGACCCTGCAGCAGGTAGTCCAACTGCTTCTCAAGAACCTGTGAGATTGAGGAAGAAGGTCAGCCATTAGGCAGGTGGAGATTCAAAGCCAGATGCGGTACAAACACGGAGATGGAGGGTATGGGTGGGGTGTCTGCACAGATCTCAAGCTGATGAACATTGGCACAGGCCACCAGCTTCTAGGAATTGGGGCCTTGGTGTCGAGGTCTCATTCTGGTGTCAGGCCTTGCCACTCTCTGATTGATTGTTACAATCCAAGAGAAGCCAATCAGCCAATGATTTATTGATTGTTCTGATTTTTTCAATGCCTCACCTCAGGTGAATAGTTGTGTCTTTTTTTTATTCACTTGTGGGCATTATTGGCCATGCCAGTGTTCAATGCCCGTCCCCAGTTGTCCCTTGAGAAGGCAGTGGTGAGCTGCCTTCTTGATCTTTGGAAATTTGCTTACCTTTGCTGTATCTGTTTTCCGCTCATAATGTCAGAGTCAATTCATCTGTCTTTTGTGGAGGTTCTTTTAAAATTCTTTCATGGGATGTGGGCGTCACTGGCAGGGTAGCATTTATTGCCCATCCCTAATTGCCCAGAGGGCAGTTCAGAATCAACCACATTGCTGTGGGTCTGGAGTCACATGTAGGCCAGACCAGGTGAGGGTGGCAGACTTCCTTCCCTGAAGGACGTTAGTGAACAGATGGGTTTTTCTGACAATTGACAATGGATTCATTTTCATCATTACACTCTTTGTTCCAGATTTTTATTACATTCAAATTCCACCATCTGCCATGGCAGGATTCGAACCTGGGTCCCCAGAACATTATCTCAATCTCTGGATTAACAGACCAGCAATAATGCCACCAGGCCATTCCCTCCCTTATCCAGGGAAATGGGAGATGTTCCGTTCAACGTGAAGCAGGTAACTGACATGGCTTGTGAACTGGGGGCGGTTGCAGGATGTGGCGGTGTTGTTGGGAACTTCAATATCCAACAGTATCAGCTGCGGAAACGTTAAAGACTGTACTGTGTCCCTCCTGCCCCCTCACCTTCTGTTTACTGTTACAGAGCCCCTCCAGATCGGAGATGAGTGAGGCCTTCCGTAGCTGAACGGCTTGCTGCAGCTCCTCAAAGCTGGTGCTGATCTCAGTGATCGCGCTGTCCTTGTTGGTGATCAGCTGTTGGCAGATCCCATGAACCAGCTCAATGGCAGCATTCAGCTGGGGCAACCTGGGGAAGGTGGGAGAGGAAAGAGTGCACCATGAGGTCTGGATATTTGGGGGTTGGAGGGGTCAGGAACGAACTAAGGTTGGGGGCAGAGGGGAAAAAATGAGGGGGTGGAAGAGGTGGGAGAGTCCAAGGAGTTGGGGAAGGAAAGGGAGGGGAGGATGAGGAGTAAGGGGAGGAGAAATGAAGCATGGGCGAGGGGAGGGGGAGGAGCAGTTTGATGTAGTGAGCCAAAATGAGGGGAGGGGTGGAGAGGATGAGGGAGAATGAGAGGGGGTGGGGGTGTGGTGAGGGCTCTCACCGGGATTTGATGGCATCCAACTGCAGCCGGAGCGAGGCCTTGTGCTGATCAACCACGTCACGGAGCGGCACGGTGCGGTGATCGCGGTGCTCAGTCTCCGTACACTCCCCACACATTGCAGTCTCACAGGATCCACAATAAAACTCCATTCCCTAGAAACAGGAGCGAGAGAATTAGGGCAGAAGTTGGGGAGGAGGTGGGGGGAGCGAGATAGATCTAGAGAGGAGAGAAAAGGAACAGGGTGTTAGGGGGTGAGTGAGACAGAAACAGACAGAGAGAGAGAAGCCTGAGAGAGAGTGAAATATACAAGGCCAAGGAAGTGATGCTTTGAGACACCTTTTGAATGCACTCAGTGAAGGTTGAAATAAGAACGCCATGATACCAGGGTGTTGAATTCCCACGGGCTGCGGGTGCAGGACAGACTCCCCACTCAAAGATGCCAGCTCCATTCTGGCTCCGTCCGA